ATGTTCTTAATGACGACAAATCAGTGATACTTTCTTATCCTTCGAACCATACAACTTTTGTTTGAAACATTTTTCCGCATAGTTTTCGAGAAATCTTACTGCATTATTTAAAATGGGACACTTTGGATATATAATGTTTGATTTAATGTGATAATCCTTTTAAATAATTTTATTTGTAGATTTGCCGACAATATCGAAAATACATATTCTTTAATGATGTTAATATTGGTACTTCATTTTGGTGTTGTGTTCTGTCTAACCGGATTTTTATTTACTATTGTAAGATGCAATAAAACAAATACGAGAAAATCTTTTATAGTATGCATAACGTAACTCCGGTATATACGTTGCACAAAAATTTAATTTGTTAAATATTATTTACTACTTTTAAATAATACCACGATTGAGAAAGTTATTTTATAAAATTACTTATAAGTTACTTCTTCAATCAACTTATAGATATTTGTTAATATAAAAATTGTGTACCAAAAATAATACAAAATTGGTGCAAATGATAAAATATATTATAAAACGTGAAGTACTTGAATATATTGTACTCAATTTTTGCAATGAAGAGTAACTTGTAAAGTAACTTTCCTAATCCTGAATTCTAATAATATAATAAGGTAAATATAATATTTAATATACCAATAGAAACTTTATGCTGTTTACTACCATGAAAATAATATTAGAAATCCTTATGTCAAAATACTTGTATTTTATATTAAAAAAAAGACTTTTTAAAGTACTTTCCTATTTACCATACATATAAAGGTAAAATACATATAAAGATATATAGCTACACGGAAAAAAATGTTTCATATATAATTATATACAATTATATACAATTATATATAAAAAATATATCCATATATATAATATTTTTTCCCGAATATTTATAAGTGTGGTATACGACGGAAGATTTACCAATAATACTTAGAGAAAAGATGTAAAAAATGATACGATAACTTACAAATTACTAGGAATAAAAATGATAAGTATATATACAGAATGTAATAGATAATAATTCTAACTTTTTGCATATATTACAAGTGTTATGACGTACATGGTTCATGTAGTACATTTATTGCATTTAATGCATTCCAATCTGAGCACTTTGTATGCTTTGGGCAAGCGGATTCATATTCCGTTTGCTAAAAATGCTATATATTCCAAACAAGTGGGAACATACAAGATTTTAAGTTGAATAATAAATATAAGAGCACTTGTATTTTGCTGTAATTCGTTTTTTGCCTTTACAATTATGTATCTCCAAATAACATTTAAGTCTTTCGCTCCTTACGGTAATTATTTTATGTAAGTTATAATATATAATTGCACTACTTATTGCATTGACAATTAAATCAATTCAATTGTATGATAATAATTTTAACATATAATATTAATTTAAAAAAAATGGAAATCATAACATCATATTAATAGAATACAAAGGCATAATAGAATGGTTATGTGCAAATTATCTCTATATTTATTTTTCCCGATTTCTGAGATGTACATATATCCCCTTGCAACTTAAATACCGGAGTTACTCTATGTTCCTTTGTTAATTTATAATTTATGTTTTAGATATTAGCTGACGGAAAAATAGATAAAACTATTATCATACAAGGATATTTCTCAATATTACTTTTTATTATCTTTTTGATGAATACTTTTCTCTATTGTGGGGCAGGAGAGCTTGTAACAGAGCAAGTAAGTTATATCTAGTATGTTAGGTTATACTTAAACGAGAAAATAATACAACACATCTTTTATCGGCCAATAATGAAGATAGAAAAGTGAAATTATACACGTTGCAAACTTCAAGTTTGCATTTTTAACTTTGCACTTTTAAATAAAATTATATTCTGACAGACAAAGTAAATGTAATAACCTTTCTAATGGCGCCTGCTAACAACTCGTGTGTTACAAGCAACGAGTTATAGGCTTATTCTGTTTTCATTTTCACTATAAACATTATTTATCCTTGTTGTCTATCAAATATTAAACGAGGATAAATAATACTTACAAGCGTTGCAAGCGTAAAACGGAATACATCCATAATTAAATTTTTTATTGTATTACAAAGTTACAGAATTCCATTGTTGTGATGTTATTCTATGCATGTTTATCGATAGTTGTCAGTGTCGTTATATGTTTTACGCAACTATTTTACAAAATATCTACGCAAAATACATAACGATACTGACAATTATCGATACAGAAAATTATATAATGACGCCTCTGCATATTCTGTAACTCGTGTTCAGAACGACTGCCACGAGTTCACAGAATTGATACAGAGTTCCACTTCTGCTTCTGTATTTTGTAATTATTTTGTTATGCAATCGTTATGAATTCATAACTACAATTGCGCAGATATTCCATATAAGTAAAAGATTCTTTTACAAGAAATAAGAAGTTGTTTAAATTTTAATTAACTATTACTAATATATTTAGAAATAATCCTTATTGAAGTTGCATGAATTATTATGTTTTTTCATATGTATTCATTAAGTGCAATGCAGTACATCGTGCAATGTGCGATCTTGAGTGGTACAAATTGGAATCAAGGAAGGCAAGAAGTCTTATTTTATTAATGATGCGAACTAAATATCCTTTTTGTATCACTGCAGGAAAGATTTTTCCGTTAACAATGGCTACTTTTTGCAGTGTAAGATTATCTTAACTCCTCTCATATTAATTTTACTCTTTTGCTATATAATGGAATCCGATTTATTTTCACATTTTCACTTTTTCTCTCTCTCTCTCTCTCTCTCTCTCTCTCTCTTTTTCTTTCTCTTTATTTACACACACTTGCACGCACGCACGCACACATATCGAGTGTTTAGACCACTTATATACCCCATTTAAAAACATGGGAAATAATAATTTTGAAAAATATTTCAGACAAAATTTGTTTGAGATCAAGTAATATATTACATGCTTATGCAATTGATGACCTTGGTTGACATGAAGATCAACTAGAACTGTCAAGATCGAGAACTTTTTAAATGGGAACCCATACATGCTGTTATTAAGACAAATCCTTTTTAGTTGAGATCTTCCTGAATTATGAGATTTCAAAATTTTAGTACGCTGAGCATTATCATTACATAAGATGTACTGTGTGGAGGTTGCACGATTGAAGACTTTAAAAAAGACCTCGAAGACGTATAAATTCGACCGTGTGACCTCCACCTAGAACATCTTGGGTAATGCTACGCCGCAGCACTGAAGTCTCAACTCAAGAAAATCTCAACTAAAAAGGAATTTGTAATCAGTGTTTCAAAAACATTTTGACATCAACTACAAGAATATGCAATGAAAGATACCATTTAAAAAATTCAAGTCAACTTTGGCATAATCTTCACGACGCTAACCAAGATCAATCGCATATGCCTATGTAATGTATTACTTGATCCCCCCAACTTTTGTGACTAAAACATTTTACAATATAATCACTTCCCTCAGTTTTAAATGGGATGTACGGCTGGTCTGAAACACCGGTATGTATAGTATACGTACGATAAGTTAGTAATTATGAAATTTTTCCGTATATACAGAATGCATGTTATAATTAATTAAGAATTTATGGGTAAATATTTTAGCTTTGTTTGTAAAAATTTAAAACTGTAAAGTTTGCGTACTAATCCCGGTCTCCCCTACATAAAAATCGATATTGGCAACGTATTTCTCAAATGTCATTAAATAAAAATAATTATTTACAGATATTAAAAACATCAATGGGCTATATATCATTTTTATTAACACAACATGGCTAAACATGATATATTAATATTTAATAATTATATCAATTTAAAAATAGATATGTTCATGATTTTATATTTACAAGTGAACATAATTTCTAGAAAACTATTGTTATAGCTGTAGTAAAAATATAATTATGTTTTATCTATTGATTGTTGTTTATTATAAATTATATTATTAAGACATTTATAATGTAACAAATATTTTTATGGAACAAAAATAGTTCGATGGAAATAGGTCCTCATGCATTATGTTTAACTTTAGTTTGCCACGCGAGGGTACAACGTAAGCGATTTTTTACATTCCTGTAACCTATTTTATAATATTATTTGATCATATGAATTGAAGTTCAAAAGAAATTATCCATAGATATATAGTATAATAATAAAATATAAAATATAAACAAAATTTCTTCTTAATATTCATTTTTGAATTACATTACTTAGTGATAATGTTTTATCAAATTTGAGGACAACTGTATTTAGTCAAATCAACATGGCAAGATGAATGTACTTACGTTATTACTATGTGAGTTTTATTACGTACTTCAGTTTTGAGAAAAGAATTTTCTACCTTATATCTTCGATAAACAGAATCATACAACTAAAACAAATTCGTATTTCGTTATCGTATTTCGAAAATGTTGACAGCTATTATATGTTGTACAGTTGCAGTTTCAGACATTAAAATTTCATTGAAAATGCACAGGCAATTTCAAATATGAATTATAATCTTCTTATAGTCCAGAGAAAATATTCTATCATGTTTCCTATAATGACAGCAAAGTCTTTGAAAGAGATATTTAAAAGATGCATGTTATACGTGCACTATAATTTCACATCATCTTTTTTTTTTAATATAATTTTTGTTGGCTGGTGTAGACAACTTCATTAAAGATGCAATAGCGTTATTTCTCGTTTCTCAATAAACGCATATATAATGAAGCAATATGAAACATGGAAAAAATTTTCTGAGTAAGTATCGACGAATTTATAATGCGATACAACATTTTGTATCTCTTATTTTATATTAGATCAGACATAAACGATTTTATAATTTGAACATTTATAAAATTTTTTCTTACAATATTAGTAGATATAATTGGTAATAGTATTCTTAATATTTAATGCATTTGACAGTGCTGCGAGTTCTTGCATTTGTGTAGAGAGCATGCCTGATGCTCATTTAGCATCATACCCCGGAAAAAACAAGATGTTCTAATTTTCAGCATGGATATTACAAATTCTTCAGGATACAGAGGTACTAACTTCATATTACATTTTTTCCGTATTAACCATCAATATATGTACTAAATCAATATATGTACTCAATATATGTACTAAATTTCTATAATTTTGCATTATAAATCCTTTCTTGAAATTCTACATTATTTTATTTATTGTTTATTTTTCTTATGTATAAATATTTAAACATTATATAGTAAATATTAAATATATTACATTTGCAACTATATTATCGAAATCATTTATTTTGCATAAAAATTTATCAGATTTTATGTGGGCAGTTAATCTACCTCGTTTAGCATTCGAAATGGTAGGCTTGTGGCCTAAACACTACAAATGTATTAAAAAAAATTTGTGGGCAGAAATTTGGGTTGCCATAGTTATCATTTCATTAATATTTATTTCTAATATTCCGATGATATGTACAATCATACAAGTTTGGGGTAATATGTTACTTGTGATAGACAATTTACATACAACATTACCTCAAATAATAGTATCAGTGAAATATGTTGTCATTCGACGGAAACGAAAAGGTATGTACGGTATTATATAAAATAAAATATTCAACATTATATTCCGTTGGTTTATTAAACCATTTTTATAACAAATAATTTTAATTACAAATATATTGTGTAATAAGAAAACAGGATATATATGTATAATTTACTCATATGTAGCAACATGGAAATAAATTATAAAATATGCGTAATATTTTTTGTTACGATAATTTATAAATGATAACATATGTTTAAATAATTTAGATTTTAACGTTTTTAACAATATTTACATTTTATCTATAGTTATTTATATTTTCAAGTTCTCTTGTCAATTGTGAATATGATGGCAGAAGATTGGATGGCATTTAAACTGGATAGAGAAAGAAATGTGATGATTAAACGAGCACAAACAGGGCGACTAATTATGATGATTGGTTATATTATCATAATAACAGGGTTTTTTACAGTAAACTTTCTTTCTTTACTTGATATTCACGTATTATACGTAACAAATTACACGGATCGGCGCAGACTGTTACCATTGGAGACGTATCATTTCTACAATTCATATAAGAGTCCGCAATTTGAGTTAACATTTTTTATTCAGATTTTGACGACATTGTTTGCAGCTGTCATTTACATGTCTGTAGATATCTTTCTAGTTGTTATCGTTCTTCACATTTGTGGCCAGTTAGAAAACTTTAGATGCCGATTAATTGATTTGGTCTTGTACAAAGATTTCAATAAAATTTTAAACGATATCGTAACATTCCATTTACGTCTTATCAGGTATGAATTTTTATTGTGACAATAGAATGTTAAACGACATTAATTTAGAAACACATTGTAAAATATTTCTTTGTTCCCATTTTAAACTTTGAATATTAAAATTGCTTATTTATAGTTATATTTACAGTATATTTCTTATGACAAAAATATTAATGTTATGTGTAACTGTTTGAATAATATATATTTTTTCTTTATTTCCTAATGCAGTAATCATGTTATTGTATACTTTGTTATACTATATAATAATTCTTATCACATTTACAGTTATAAGACTTGTTTGTTAAAAACGTTTTTATTGCCATATAATTGAAACAATTATACTAGTGTCATTATAATTTTCATTGGAAAAAACTAATTAATAATTTGATATCAAATGATATATATTTTATGTTCAAATATATATATTTTTTAGAATACACAAACTTTTACATACACACACACACACACACACACACACACACACACACACACTTTTTTAGAAAAAAAAAGACAATAGTAGATATATCTAAATTTTTAAGCTATTTAAGAAGTTTGGAACTTTTTGTTTGATTTTCTAGTGTGTGTGTATGTGTGTGTGTGTCGTGCGTGTGTGTGTGTGTGTGTGTGTGTGTGTGTGTGTGTGTGTGTGTGTGTGTGTGTGTGTGTGTATGTGTGTAATATTTTATTGATTTAATATGATTATTCATTTTAATAATTTTATTCGTAGATTTGCCGACAATATTGAAAATACATTCTCTTTAATGATGTTAGTATTGATATTTTATTTTGGTGTTGTATTCTGCCTAAGCGGATTTTTATTTACTATTGTAAGAGTCAATAAACTAATACGAGAAAATATTTTATAACGTACATAGGTAACTCTGGTATATTTGCCGCACAGAAACTTTACTAACAATAAGCATCATTTACTATTTTTTTTTAAATAAATAATAACAGGATTGAATAAGTTACTTGACTTTATAAAGTTGTAACTTATGACCTTATACATATTGTGACCTTATACATATTTGTTATAAAAATTGAGTACAAAATGTAATACAAAATTAGAGTAAACGATAAAATATGTATTATACAGAATTTAAATAAAAATGATGTGAATTTAATGTAATTTTTTCAATTCTGAATAATAATAATAATTTAATAATAAAATAAATAAATAACTATATACCAATAGTAACTATATACCAATAGAAACTTTGTGCCGTTTATTAATATAAAAATAATATTAGAAATTGTCGTATTGAAACTTATATTTTAAATTTGCCTTTTTGTTTATATACAGAGGTAAGAAATACAATTAAGAAGTTGTAAGAAGGATGTATGACTTATAAAAAATTTATCAGTAATGCTTAGAAATAGAACATAAAAATGCATAACAACTAACAAAATTTTATTTAAAAATAAAAATTATGGATAATATATGAAGTATATAATATATAATAGATAATTATTCTAATCTATTGTACATATATTATAACGTATATATTAGGTGTAGTAAAAAGAAATCCATTATTTTTCCATTCAATTTCATGCAAAAATAATGGATTTCTTTTTACTACACCTAATATATTTCATGTAATGCATTTATTGTATTTAGACTGGATTGTTCCACCTTTAGGTAAACACTTCAGCTAATTACTACATAACAAATCATCGATTCAACTGACATGATTTTAGTAATATGAATAGTAAAAAACTGAAATCATAACACAATATCAATTTAATATAGAGGCATAATAATAGAGAGTAGTTGCGTGCAAATTAACCACTAAATCTAAATTTTTCTGATTTCTGAGACGTACATCTCCGCGCGGCTTAAATACCAGAGTTACGCTACATTTTTTGTTACCTTATAATTTATGTTTTAGATAATTTTTGACGGAAAAATAGATAAAAGTGTTATCGTGCAAGGATATTTCTCAATATTACTGTTGATTATCTTATTGATGAATACTTTTCTCTTTTGTGGAGCAGGAGAACTTGTAACAGAGCAAGTAAGTTATGTATTTACAGCTTGTAGATTATGCTACACGAAAATTGTTTTAAAAGTGATGCATCTTTTCTTGGCCAATAAAGGTGGAAAAGTGAAATACTACATACTTCAAGTTTGTTACACTTTTATGTAAAATTATATGGTATTCTGATAGATGAAATAGTAATAACTTTTCTAATGGCGTCTAACTTTTCTAACGAGCTGTAGGATATGTTCTGTTTTACATTCGCTATAAACATCAGTTCTTGTTATCTATTAAACAAGGTTAAATTATGCTTACAAGTACTGTGAACAAAACGCATCCATAATTGGATTTTTTATCGCAAAGAAAGGAATTATGATAAATAAATATGATGCATTATTTTTTGAACAACCCTTTGAACAACCTGTGTAATACACATGATAACATGATTATAACGTACTTATAATGTATACCAATAGTATTATATAAATTTGTTTTATACTTTGGAGCAAATATAATTTTCAGATGTTAGTATATATATCAAAATATTTTTTTAGTTATAATACTGTTATAATATTGTTTATTATAAATTTGCTATCAAATTATTAGACAAAACTATTTATTAAAAATTTACTATAGATCATATTTATGCATGACCATTTATCGAATGACTCTTTCTGAGTGAACATTAACCAGAATGCAAATTCATTCAAGTTATATCACATTTTTGCTTCTAATTTCTTTTAGAAATTTTTTTAGAAACTTTTAAGGAATAAGAAGTAATTTAAATTTTAATTGATCGTTATTATATAAATTACTAGTATTACTTATATAAATATTATTATTATTTATATAAATACTAATATATCTAGAAATAGTTTTTATTGAAGTGACATGGACATTAATATATTTTCTCATATGTATTTATTAAGTGCAATGCAGTATATCGTGCAATGTGCGATCTTGAATGGTATAAATTGGAATCAAGGAAAGCAAGAAGTCTTATTTTGTTAATGATGCGAGCTAAATATCCTTTTTCTATCACTGCAGGAAAGCTTTTTCCATTAACAATGGCTACTTTTTGCAGTGTAAGATTATCTCAACTCCACTTATATTAACTTTGTTCCTCTGTTATGTAATAGTATTCGATTTACATTCACATTTAATTTCTTTTTCTTTCTCCCTCCCCCCCCCCCCCCCCCACACACACACACACACACACACACACATACAATTTTACATTTAGTGACTCTTGATAAGTCAGTACGGATAAGTCATTACGAATTTTTTCCGTATATACAGAATGTATGTTGTAATTAATTAAGAATTAATTTTTTGTAGTCTTTTAGTTTTGTCTATAAAAATTCAAAACTATAAAGTTGGCATTCTAATCCCGAATTGTACATTCTTTTCCCTACTTCTAAAAATCGATGTTAATAACGTATTTTTTAAATGTTAATAAATAAATTAATTATTATTTTCAGATATTAAAAACATCGATGAGCTATATATCATTTTTATTAACAAAACATAGCTAAACATGATATATTAATATTCAGTATTTATACATATAATCTTAAAAATATATAATTATATACTTACAAGTAGACACAATTTTTAGAAAGCATATTGTTAGAGCTGTAGTAAAAATATAATGTATATTATGTTTTGTCTATTAGTTGCTGTTTATAAATTATATCATTGAGCAATTTATAACAAATTATATTACACACACATTAAATAATTTATAATAAATATTTTTATTGCTTAAAAATATTTCGATGGCAAAGTCAACTAAAGAAACGCGTATTTTTTTGCTTAAAGTTTAAAATAAAAAATTTAAGAATTTTTTTATCCAAAATTGATATGCATTCATAGCTACATCGCGACAAAGTGCAAGATTCTACGGACCACGACGTAAAATAATAAAAAATAACAGTAAGAGGATCAAGGAAAATCGAAAAATGTATAATATGTAATAGTACAATAATATAATATAACAAAAGTATAATACAAAGTTTCTTCTCAAAATTTGTTCTTTGAATTACATTAGATTTATTGATAAATAATGTTTTACCAAATTTTATAATTACATTTAATCAAATCAACATAACAAGATGAATGTACTTACGTTATCGTAATTATGTGAGTTTTATCGCGTACTTTAATTTTGAGAAAAAAATTTTTTGCCTTATCTTTAATGAGCAAAATCATGCTACAAATTTGTTTTTATCGCGAGAATATTGCTAGTTTTAAAAGATATACGTTGCACAATTGCAGATTTAAGATACCACAATTTTATCATGGAAATGCACTGACAATTTTCAAATATGAATTATAATTTATACTTAATTTGAGACTTATAGTCTCAAAAAATATTGCATTTCTATCACGTTTATTATAACGATAGCAAAAATGTTTTTAAAAAAGATATTTAAAAGATACGTATTATATGTGTACTATACAATTTCACGTTATCTTTTTTTTTTAATATAATTTTTGTTGACTGGTATATAAAGCCTCATTAAAAATGCAATAGCGTTATTCCTCGCTTTACAATAAACGCGAACATAATACAGCAATATAAAACATAAAAAAAAAGTTTTCGAACGAATATCGGCGAACTTATAGTGCGATGCACCATTTTTTATCTTTTATTTTATTAGATCAGACATAAACGATTTTATAAAATTCTTTTTTATGATATCAGTAGATGTAATTGATAATAGCATTCTTAATATTTAATGCTGCTTAATATTTAACGGTGTTGTCGAGTTCTTGAATTTATATAAAGAGCATGCGTGAGGATCATTTAACATTATATCGTGGAAAGAACAAGACGTTCTGTAGATTCAATTTTCAACATGGATATTACAAATTCTTCAGGATACAGAGGTACTAATTGTATTTTACCCTTTTATTAACCGTGTTCAATATTTACTAAATTTGTATAATTTTGGATTATAAATTCATTCTTGAGATATTATATTATTGTATTTATTGTTTACTATTGTTAAATATGAATATTTAATAATGTAATCGTTAAATATTATATATAAATATTATGTATAAATATTATGTATATTATATTTGCAACTGTATTATTCAAATCACTCATATCGTATACAAATTTATTAGATTTCATATGGGCAATTAGACTACATCGTTTAGCATTCGAAATGGTGGGCTTATGGCCTAAATCCAACAAATGTACTAAGAAAAGTTTGTGGCCAGAAATTTGGGTTGGCATAATTTTTATTTTATTAATATTTGTTTCTAATGTTCCGATGATATATGCAGTCATACAAGTTTGGGGTAATATGGTACTTGTGATAGATAATTTGCATACAACGATACCTCAAGTAATAACATCAGTGAAATACATTATTATTCGGCGAAAACGAAAAGGTTACACATGGAAATATATTAAATAAAATATTTAGCATTATTTTATTAAATTATTTTATGACAAATAATTATAATTTTAAATATATTTTGGTGTATGTAAGAATGGCATATGTAAGAAACAAAAAATTATACATATCATTTACTTTTGTATACAAACGTAGGAATAAATTATAAAATGTGCATGATTCTCTTTTTAATGCTATAGTTTACAAAGAACAACATATATATGTCTAAATGATTTGGAATTTTAGCGCTTTTATCATACTTATGTTTTAACTGTAGTTATTTATATTTTCAAGTTCTCTTATCAATTGTAAATATGATGGCAGAAGATTGGATGGCATTCAAGCTGGATAGAGAAAGAAATGTGATGATAAAATGTGCAGGAACAGCGCGATTAATTATGATGATTGGATACGTCATCGTATTTTTATCGTTTTTAACAATAAACATTCTTTCTTTTTTTAATATACACGTAATGTACGCGAATTCCACAGATCGACGCAAATCATTACCACTGGAGACGTATCACTTCTACGATACAGATAAGAGTCCACAATTTGAGTTTACATTTATCATTCAGGCTGTAACGACATTGTTGATAGCTACCATTTACATGTCTGTAGATATCTTTCTCATTGTAATGATTCTTCATATTTATGGTCAGTTAGAAAACTTTAGATATCGATTAATTAATTTGATTTCATGCAAAAATTTCAATAAAGTTTTGAATGATATCGTAGTGACTCATTTACGGCTTATCAGGTATGAATTTTTGCTAGGGAAAACCTAACAAAAAAGTAATTTTGCAAATGATGCTTAATAATCTATACATTTTATATTTAGATATATGCATTACGGAATTTACCTTATATATGTATATATACACATACAGTGTTTCATTGATCTAATTTAATAATTCTTTCAAATAATTATTATTTTTGTAGATTTGCCAGCGATATCGAAAGTACATATTCTTTTATGATGTTAATAATGATACTTCATTTTAGTGTTGTATTTTGCCTAAGCGGATTTTTATTTACTATTGTAAGATTCATTAAAGAAGAATACAAGTAGTTATTTTATATTATAATATGTATACATTTCTTAATTTTCTTCAATTTGTATTTGTATTTTTTTTAGATATTGACTAACAGAAAAATAGATAAAGCTATCATCATACAAGGATATTTCTCAATATTAATTTTTATTGTCTTATTGATGAATACTTTTCTTTTTTGTGGAGCAGGAGAGCTTGTAACAAAGCAAGTAAGTTATACTTACAGCAAGTACTAATTAAAAATTTACTTTAATACATGTTTACGCATGTTTTACGCATGTTGAATGATCGTTTCGAAGTGAACATTAATGCAACTCATTTGAGCCGTATCATACATTTCTGTTTCTCATTTCTTTAATAAAGAAATTAGAAACAGAAAAATATCATATTATAAGAAATAAGAAATTATTTATACTTTGATTAACTGTTACTAAGATTTTTCATTAACAATACTACTTGAATGACGTAAACATTAATTTGTTTTCTGATATATGTACTCATTAAGAGTAATGCAGTATATCGTGCAATGTGCGATCTTGAATGGTACAAATTGGAATCAAGGAAGGCGAGAAATCTTATTTTGTTAATGATGCGAGCTAAATATCCTTTTTGTATCACTGCGGGAAAGATTTTTCCATTAACAATAGCTACTTTTTGCAGTGTAAGATTATTTTAACTCCTCTTATATTAATTTTGTTCCTTGTAATGGAATCCGATTTACTTTTATGTTAATTTCTCTCTCTCTCTCTCTCTCTTTCTCTTTCTTTCCTTCTCCCTCTCTCTGTCTCTCTATCTGCACGCGCGTGCACAGACACACCCATGCAGACATACATGCGAGCACTTTTATAATTTAAAAAAAAAAAAATATATATATATATATGTATGTGTG